AAAAAAAATATGTATTTGAATGTTTGAATTTTACCAGGTCTCCAGGACCATGGATATAAATGAAGTAACATTAGCATGAATATTCAAGTTTCTTTAGTCCATAAACAGCACCTATAAACCTCTCCCTGTTATTTCAGAGTTTTCAAAGGGTCCAATAAGAGTTTATCAGCAGTTCTCTTTAGCACTACCATCCTTCCCCAGAAACCTCTCTACCCACACATAAAAGAAAAATTAGCAAGGTAACGTGTTGATAAAGAAGCGTGGCAATTTCTCTGAAGGAAACATCCAGGTCTGTCTCTGAAGTTCTGTTTTCTTGGTGTATCATATCCACATCTGCAAAACGTGTAAATTACAAATACTGCTCTCTGTCTGGAGTTTTTGTAAAGCCAATTTGTAGTCTAAACAGAGCTTGAAATGATGCTTTTCCCCCTCATCTTTTGCTAGTTTTATAACCAATTTGTTAATAACCAGGGTTCCTCAGCTTCTACTTGCAAATCTCTTTTCGTGGGTTCAGCTCCAAACCATATATTCAGGGTGAGGAACTGTCCATATTTCCTTTCCCTATGCTTCAACATTCTGAGTGTAAATCATTTTTTTTCAGGCTTCTTCACTGGTACATTAAATCAATGCTGAAAAATAAACAACAGGGGTTTGTATCCCCACCACTCCATTAGACACAGTCAGAGTCTGAATCCCATTTTAGACTCAGTGGGATTGCTAACACATGAGAAATCTTTAGACCACAGATTGAATAATCTGACATAGTTCTATATGCACAAAAAAGTAAATATATATTTCATTTATTCTAAATGGTGAGATTTGAGTTTTTTTCTTTTATTCTTTTCTGTTAAAAATTATCTACAACAAAATGCAATTCCTTTATATGTTATATTTTTATGTTACTTTACAAATAACATTAAAATAATAATTAGAACAAATACTTTATAAAAACAATAATGACTGGGAAATAAGTACAGAATGGTTTGGACTCCAGAAGAGGACAATTTGATTGAATTTTGTATAGACATCACATAGATATCTTGAAACTCTGAAACTTGCTCCTGGACATAGAGTAGCTAAAATGAATGAAAAAAATGAAGATGTTAAAGAGCCAATAAGATTTCAAAGAGTGGCTTGAGAAGACAAGGCAAAGTATTGTAAAGAAATATGCAAAGACCTGGAGTTATAAAACCAAAAGCGAAGAATGTGCTTAGCATTTTTCAAGCTGAAAGAACTGAAGAAAAAATTCAGGCCTCTAGTTGCAATATGGAAGAATTCTATGGGCAAAATATTAAACAATGTACAATACATCAAAAGATGATGGAAGGAATACACAAAGTCACTATACCAAAAAGAATTGGTTGGCATCCACCCATTTCAATAATTAGTATATTATCAGGAATTAATAGTGCTGATGGTAGACATCTATAATTCACTGAAGGCATTGGTAAAAAGCAAGGCTGCAGGAATTGACAAAATACCCATTGAGAT